TTAAAAGATGTATTTATTTCAAAACAAAATGAATGAACAGATCAATTAAAGTATTTTCCATCGCTGGCTACTACTTTCTCCCATTTCTCGGGTAATTTTCGAATTCCATCTCGAAAAAATGACTCGTCTTTTGAGGCGATCCAAGTTTGGAGCCAATTTTTGATATCTGCGAAAGAAGTAAACCGGTGACCTGCCAAATCGTGCTGCATCCTTCGGAACAACCAGTAATCAGAAGGAGCAATGTCCGGAGAATACGGCGGGTGCGGTGAAACATCCCATTTGAGCGTTTCCAAATATTTTTTTACGACTTTTGTGACATGAGCCCGAGCGTCTCTCGGTTTCAGTTCATAAGGTACCCAATTTCCTTGTTTTTGAATAATTCCCATGTCTCTCAATCGTACGGAAACGGCTTGTTGAGTCACTCCCAATGATTCTGCAAGCTCCTCTTGCGTTTGACTCTGATCTTCTTCGAGTAATGCCTCTAGTTCTTTGTCCTCGAATTTTTTTGGCTGTCCAGAGCGAGGCTTGTCTTCGACGCTGAAATCTCCATCCTTGAAACGTCGAAACCATTCCCTACATGATTTATCAGTTGGAGCAGCGTCACCATAAACTTCAACAAGCATTCGATGGGCTTCCAGCTGCACTTTTCTTCCAATTAAAGCAGAAAATTAAAACCTCCCGCAAATGCTGCTTGGTTAACACAAAATTCGACATTTTCAACACTGTAAAAAGCAAGGTTTTTGTATGAAACTCAAAGCGATATAAACTGAATATTATTGGCAGATGTCTAACCTCTCTGAAACCGCCAAAATCGGCAGTCACTATGAACCATTCATAACACCGGAGCCATCTTTTGAAAACGGACCGAACTAATTTGTACACCCAATAGAATAAACACAAATATATAGTCAATGATTGTCTTAAATAATTGTTTAGTTACTTTTACCACATATATGGTAATTTCTCATTCACAAATATAATGAGATTTAATATTCATATAGTTATATCTGTCATCATTTAGCAAATATTCTGGTAATATTGACTATATAGAAGAGTTACTTTACCTACCATTTTATACTTGTATCCATACAATAATTTTAGTTTAACTTACTATAATTCTTAGTAAAAATATTATATAGTTGGTTATACTATGCCTATATCGTAATTATTACCGATATTATGGTAATACTTACTATAAATATGATATTTCGGGCTATAATTTAGTTACTATATCATTATAGTTCCAAATATCATATATTTTTCTCTCAGTGTGCTCTTCTCTCCCCTTTCTTCTCCTTTTTTCTTTCTTTCTTTCTTTCTTTCTTTCTTTCTTTCTTTCTTTCTTTCTTTCTTTCTTTCTTGAGAGAGAGAGAGAGAGAGAGAGAGAGAGAGAGAGAGAGGAGGCAAGGGAGGAGGAGAGAGCACGTTACTCCGATATAACGCAATAACTTCCTTTTCCGGCAGAATCGCTGGACGAGTCGTTTTCGTCTTTCCGCTCGGCTCTCGCAATCTCGCAGAAAAAAGAGGTCGAGCGCGTATCGCGCGAACCTTCCCGGCAGATTGCAGATTAGGTCTGGCCTCTGAGAGTGCGGTCGCGCTTGCTCGCTCGCGCGAGTGCACGTTGCGAGCGCAAATCGGCGAGAGCCAGCCGCTCTCTCCGTTCTTAGCCGTCGTTTCGCGTGCGCGCGGCGCGGCGCGGCGCGGCGCAGCGCGGCGACGGGCTTATCTGCGAAGAACCGCGAGCGCGTAGATCCGAGATAAGGGATAATTATAAGGCGCGGATGAGTGAATGGAGCGGTTAGCGGAGCAATCGAAAGGCTAACGTCGTAACGATTAAGGGGATCTAACGAGGCTCGCGATCATAACGATACCGAGCCCCGACATCCGACGTCGGTCTCTCCCGAGGCGGCACGGCGCGGCGCGGCGGCCGCGACTTCTCTTTTCTTCTCCTTTCAGCTCAATCGTCCCTCCCGCTTTGTTAACGTAATCGGCGAGCCGCGCGATTTTCGCATTACGCGCGGCGCGCCGGATCGCGAACAACGCGTAACGGTACGCGTCGCTCGGGGAAATTGCATCGAGCTCTCTTCTCTCCTCATCGAACACGCGCGGAGGCTGTTATCCCACGACGGCGCGAGTGGCGCGCGTCGCGCGTCAATCGGAGTCGTGAGAGCGAGCATGTTTTTCGCAGATCTTGAGGAAGTGCGCACTCGATCGGTAATCGAGCCGCTTTTCCACGTGCGGACTCGCCCCGAAGCGGCCACTCAATGTCGACGCGGAAAAATCGCCGACGATCGCTGCCGGTCCGCCGCGCGGATTCGCTCCGAGCGCGATTGAATCGGGCTTCTTCTGACACTCCCTCGACACTCGCGTTTTTCCCCGAGCTCGCTTACTTCTCACGTCGCTCTCGGCATTTTTCGACTCAGACTCAGCGAAAGAAAGAGGGAGAAAGGGTAGGGAGGGAGGGAGATCGGCCGCACTTGTTTCTACGCCAACCTGTTCCCGGGGGAAGCGATATTAAATGGTCGATCTTGCTCTCGTGATTTTTGTCTCGTCTCGAGACAACGCGATAAAAAGATGCGAGATGCCCAGTGCGGGAAAGTAGTCTCTCTCTCTCTCTCTCTCTCTCTCTCACTCTCTTTGTTTTTTGATAGAAAGTGCAAAGCACCCTTGAGACTCGCAAAACCGAGGGGATTTGAGAAACCGCGCGTTGGAACCGGACGCGTGATCAAGCGGAACGCGTCGTGTTTCGCCAATTGAATTTGCGCAAAAGAAATCGTTGACTTTTCTCCTTTTCCCATCACGACCTTGCGTCGAGGGTCCCGCCGCGTCTCCGTGGGAACACACGATGATAAATCAGCAGTTTGTTTCCGATAAAGCAACAAACAGGGAATCGAATCTGCGCTTCTTCCAGCGTCATCCTCATACGATTCCTGCAAGACTCTCTGAACGTCAACGTGTACGAGACACACACACGCTTGACGTTATCTCCCCCAGACCTCTCTCTAAGGGAGAAGCGAATTTAAATTGCGGATCGCTCGCGATACCTACCGTCATTCACTTTCCCTGGAACGCACTCCCTCTGCCTCTCTCCCTGCTTCCTCCGTCCTTCCCTTGTACAGGTTTCTTCTACCTCGCGCGGTTCCTCGTATCGCAGGGAACGTCCTCTCCGTTCTTCCTTCTTCGGAGAATGCAACGCGGCTGACGCTTACGAGCAGCGATTTGCGGAAGGAGCTCTCGCCAACTCCGGCGGCGTCGCCGGACGCTCGGAATCGGAGGACGCGGCGCGGGAGCGCAAGAAGATCGGTATCCCGTCCGCGCACGCAGCCCTTAGAGGGAAAATCGAGGCGACGTCCGATCGACGTCCGACTCGTTGCACGATAATCGCCATTCTCGTCGCGCGATAAATTCGCGACAGCGGAAAGTGACAAGCCTGGGTGAAAGGTCCGTGCGCGAGCGCGCGCACGCGCGCGTTTCCGTCGTTTCCGCGCCGAGAGATTAATGCTCTCGACGCACCCGCCGCGAGAATTCGCTTTCGCCATTGCGCGCGATAACGCGTGATAAGGCGCGATCGATCGCCGGCGGAATCACTCGTTCGGCTGGAGTTATCAGCGGCGAGGCCGCGCGATCGCGTGCGGCCTCTCGTGCAGATCCGCGCCGTACGTAGCGGAATCTTGAATTCGGAATCTTGTCTCGGCAACATGAGGAAGAGAAAGAAAAGAGTAAAAGCTCTCGCCAGGAGAGAGAGAGAGAGAGACGCATCGTGTTCCATCGTGGGAGAAAAATAGCGATCGTGACGAATATATACGCGAAGTTCAGGCGATATTTTAACGCGGGAACGTCGCGGCGTTATTCCGGCCTTAAATCCTCGCAGATTATTTCAATGCGAAGACGTACATTCGTCGGGCTTCCCTCGCGACTGCACGTGCGCGTCTTCGCGCGTTTCATCGTGAAGTACGCCTCGGAAAATTCCGCTCTTCGGCCGTAAATACCGAAATGTCGCATGCGTGCCGCGGCAACGTGCGCTTTTTGCAGACCGGGCGAAATCGCCCCGGCTGTGCGGGGGGCATCTCGCGTGTCCTTCGCAACGAGGAAATCGTTATGGCCGCGCGATATCGGTAGTTCCCGCTCGATTCCATGAGAATCTAATTCTTCATCTGCAATTACCGATAGTCACTTGTCGTAACAGCGCCGCAAATTACACGACGGAGCGACCGCATTCGGGCGTTTCTCCTCGCGTCGTTACGGGACTTTAATGTCGTCGGGAAACGAATAATCGCGCGCCGACAGAGAGGAGAAGAAGAGAAAAGTGCGTCGTCGGATGCACCGCGTACGCGACAGGAAATTTATCGCCAGGGCAATTGGCGCACACACACACACACGTCAGATTGCGACCAGGGAGGGGGGAGGGATGAGCGAGATCACACCCGGCGTTTCTGCGAAGGAAGATATCCCTGCGAGATACCGGCAATCATGTGAAAAATACCGACTCACGTGAGGAAGTCGTGTCATCGGGCGAAAGGGAAGAAGACGAGCGAGTTTGCGTGACAGAAGCTTATCGCGCGGCTATACAAACACCAGGCGAATCCATGACGCTTATCGCAGCAAAGATTACATTTTAGAACCACAATTACGATTATCACCGTAATAAGAGTTTCGTGTTGCCGCTTCTTGCGCTCACCGCGAAAGCTGCGATCATTAACCGGAAAAAGAAACGAGGAGCCGCGCGAGGAGATGCAAAAAGAACGGCAAAGAGAGAGAGAGAGAGAGAGAGAGAGAGATGACTAGGGGGGAGGGAGAGGGTAGGAAAAAGGAAAACAAAAAACACGCAAATCGTTTGCGCGCAGTATTAGATAACGGTACGGCGTTCACTTTAAGATCGATGTTCCGCGAATGTGTATCCTAAAAACGATATTGCTTCCCCGTCCGCCGAGCGGAGGGACCCCGCCATTAATCACCCGTGCAGGCTGCGCGCGCGCTTAATTGGTCGGGTCTGCTTGCAGAACTACGACACCCTGAGCAAGGGCAAGAAGTCGTGGAGCGTGCGGCTGGGTCTGTCGCGGCAGCACCATAGCCCGGATGATTCCGCCAAGGGTTGGGGCACCATAAGCGGCGGCAGTGTGCTCTCCCGCCAGATGATCTACGGCGAGCCGTGGCTGTACGGCACGGTGCGATCGTCATCGTCGTCGTCGTCGCACTCCCCACACGAGCCGCGGCCGTTCCTCACGCCACCGCCGCCGCCGGGCGCGCCGTTGCTCGTGGTATGTTCCTGCCCGGAGTTCCTCGCCGGCACCGTCAGGAAGCTCGGTAGCTGCCGCAAGTGCGGCGGCCACCGGCTGGCCGGGGTGCCGTTCGGCGGCACTTGCCGCTTGCCGCCGTCCTCGAGGAGCAGACCCAGCCTCGCCGGTAAGTCATCATATTATGTCGTGATTACCTGTTACTTTTATCATTAGTCGTCTTGGTGGATTTTTAGGATTGACGACTGTCGCTGAGTTGCTTTGTTATTTGTTATTTATTATTTGTAAGTCATTTCAATCTAAAATATCATCCGCCGCTTGCCACAACCCACTTTCTCACCTTTCTGACAATATAAGTGAATCCCACACAGGTGGAAGAAAGAAGAAGCTTGCCTCTAGAAGCGATCGTCAAGAAAATCGTCAACCCTGAAAATTAATTAAAACATCTAATATCTTTTTCCTAGCCGCGCGGGAAGGTACTCCCGCCGTTGTACGGGAGACGCCAGGACTCGGAGTGGAATTCCGCACTCGTGACTTTGTTGTTCAACTTGGCGAGTCGTTGAGCCTTTCGCGGGGATCGAATTCCACTTTGAGTTCTGCGACGACGGACCGTCTGAAGTGGGTCGTGTATTCCGACGGACGAGGCTCAGGATCTAGGCTTCGGAATGCGAACGGACTTGTCGGTACATTGTACGTGGACTTGCGCGACTTCGTGCCTGAGATCGATGAGCGAGGGCGGAATGGATGGACAAGAGAAGAGCTCGTGCCCGCCGCGCCGGCGATGATGTTCATGCTCTAATTGCGAGCTCTTCGTATTAGAGATTTTCTCCTCGTTCGCGCTCGAGATAGCGCGCATACGCCGGAGCGCAGAAAGTTCTCAGCCGCGGGGCTGGATTGCTCTCGTTTAGTTTGCATTTAAATCGTTGCTCACGCCTTGAGCCTGGATCGCCGCTCTACGCGCTCGCGAGTCGCTCGCGCACCGTAAAATCCGACGTTACGCGAATCGTCGGATGAAACGTTAGAAACGTGGAGTTAGCGATGCTCCGATTAGACAATTGATACTTTACACTCGGTTGGCCATCGCGATGGTAATCGGATAGCTCGAGATTGCGCCCCGTTTTGCGCCAAGGTATTGCGTGTCGGCGTAAAATCTAAACTATCCGTTATTCGATTATGTTGAGCCATCTTTTTGCTATCTAATGGCGAGCAGAGTCTGTGTTCAGCGCTCAAATCTCATCTTTTTATTTCCAATATTTGATCAAGTCTAGAGACATACGCGAGATCGAGTGTCTGAAATCAATTCTCTATATACGATATGGATGAGCAAAGAGAGAAAGAGAGAAAGGTGAGAGAGAGAGAGAGAGAGAGAGAGAGAAAAAAAATAAGACTCAGCTTCCAAAATAAGCTTTCCACAAATTTGCACAAGCGGTCGAGATCGGTCCGACCGAAAGTCGAAGCTCAGCTTTCGCGCTCGAGGTCGAGGAAACGTAAGATTGCCCCGGTCGATCGAGCGGTCGGAGGGGATCGTGGTACTTCTCACAGCACTCGTCAACTTGTTCGTTAGGCGTGCTGAGGGCCCCGATCGACGATCCTTACGACCAGATGCGGCGGAACCGGCTGGTGGAGCCGAGGTCGCGGGCGCGCAGCATCTCACCGCACCGGTCGTCGACGCAGCGCGACTCCCGGAGCCAGAGTGTGATCGCGCGTGCCGCGAAGGAGCGGAAGGGCAGCGCGACTGCAGCCGAAGGCACCACGTCGTCTTCGAGGTCCGAATGGTTCGACAAGCAGCCGCCGGGCACGGCGGGCTACGACGACACCGCCGCGACGGCCAACGTGCGCAAATCGCGACCCGGTTTCACCGGCGGTGCGTCCTCGGACGACTGGCTGAGGGACGAGGCGACCGCGGCGGAGAGCCACTCGCGGACTCATTCTAACGCGACGCCGGCCGCGAGGCTGGCGCGTGTCCCGAAGAAGCCGGCGAGGGACGCGAGGAAGCAGTGGCTGGATGCCGGCGGTCAGCAAACGTCGGAGGCGGCGAGTCAGCGGCGGAGCGGCCAGGACGGCGGCCAGTGGAAGGACGGGACGACGACGACGGCGACGGCGACGTCGACGTCGTCGACGACGTCGACGTCGGTTACCGACTCCCGTAGGAGTATCCTCGAGTGCGACGTGAATCCATATCTGTTGCTGAAGAAGCAGAAGGACGAGGATGACTTGAGCGATGACCTGTCGGACAATGCTCTGGAGCAGGACGACCATCGTGCGCTGTCCAGCCTGTTCGACCCGTCCAAGGTGAAGTCCATCGAGAGGATACCGAACAGAAACGCCGTGGCGGCGATCGGCGGTCAACGGATCCGTGTGTTCAGCGAACCGCGGGAGATCTCGGACGACGACGACGTGGAGGTGCCAGCGGTCACCAGGATCCCGATACCGAAGGTCTCACCGAAGAGACCGCCGAGACGGCTGAAGGAGGCTCGGCAGACGCTCAAGAGCATCCTCAAGCGCGGTCGCGTGATGGAGAGCAAACGGAAGAACGTCCTGTTCAACGTCGACAACGTGATCTTCGCACCGGAGAAGCCGTCGGAGGCGACACGGCTGTCGTGGAGCCGGCTGGGCAGGATCGCTGGTCGCGACTCCGTCAAGGAGCAGCGAAACAATAACGAGCAACAGACTAAGCAAGAGAAAGAGGAAGCGGAAGAAGAGGAAGAGGAGGAGGAAGCGCCGATCGTGCCACAGGAGCAGCAAGAGAAGCACAACTTCATCACGATCCCAAACATCAGGGATCCGAAGGTCGACAGGATCCGGCTGAAGGAGCCGAGGATCGTGCCGGAAGTGAAGCTCGCGCCACCCGGTCCCGACAGGATCAAGATAGACAAGTTTATGCCGTCCAGGAAGCCCGATCGCCCCGTATCCAAGAAGCGGGAGAACGACGGCGCGGAGCAACGCGCGCGGCAGGTCGCTGAGACGCGTCCGTTCTCCGAGAACTTGTCGTCCTGCCCGAAGATCAACAGCGGCGGCGCGGGGCAGCGGAGGGTATCGCCGGAAGAGCAGAAGAGGAGATTACCTCCGGAGGAGGAGAGGATCATCAGGCCCGAGGACGAGACCGAGCTGGAGATCGAGATCGAGGAACTGAAGGATCGTCTGCCGTGCGTCGCCGTCGACGAGAAGGACTTGATCTCAAAGTCCGAAGGTAAGAAACCACTCTGAGCAACCTATCGCGAGACCCTCAACTGTGTGTGCCACGCTGATAATCCCCGCTGATTATTCCGAGTCTACTTCCAAGTAGGCTTAACAAATCCGTAATTTAAGCGCGCGCGCGCGCGCGCATTATTTTCTCAATTACTCGTCGTGAGACTCTCATCGTCGTAATCGCTGTTACTCGCTCAGGTCTCGTTTTTATGTCTTCATGATGTCGCACGTAAAGGCGATATTAGGCGCCGGTCGTCTCGCCTGAGCGTGACCGAACGTGTAATCAATTTGCTTCCGTAATTAGCGTCGGATTGTAATAACGACGTAACCTCTGTTATTGCAGAGCCGCGTTGATAATTACCGATCTGCCGGAATATGCGCGAGTTAACCATCAATTCGTCTGTTGTTAACTGGGACCGGTTCGTTGCGACGCGACGCGCTTATGATCTTCCGCGAAGGTTGACGTCTCGCGCGCGGAAATGGACGGTCTAAAAATACGATCGCGGTGCGTAGCCCGTATCGCGGGCGAGGATCTCCGAGCATCGGCGGCGCGGATCGACAATCTCGCGTCGGTCGGTTCATCAGCGTTTATCGTCTTCCTATCAGGCCGGGTATCATCGCCGCTTTCCGATCCTGCTCTCCTCCGGGCGATTATGCTAATACGTATGTGATTAATGGGCCGTTGAGGTTGACGCGGCTCTTATCGGGCCATCCTTGAACTTTGGGAAAAGAACTCACGCGTCAAGGATAACGGCTCGCGCACGCTCTGCGCGGCTCTCCCCTTCTCTCTAACGGTGCACTCACGCGGCTTGGCGAGGATTTCGAGGCTGCTCGCGCGAGTGCAAAATTCATTGCGAACAATCGCGAGATAAGTTCTTCTTCTCCCGCTGCCGCGAGCCGTCGTTGTCGTGCTGGCGTAATTGAAATTGAAACGGTCGCGGATATTTAACTTGCGTGGGCGATTAATGCGAGACGGCGCGTCCGAATGCGCGGCAAGGCGCGGCTGAGACCCGCGGCTGACCGTCCTTAAGACGGCTTTGTCGCTGACAAGAGGAGAAAGGTTGGCTGATCCTGGACGGCCCTGAGCCGCGTATCCTCGGACCGTTCGACTCGCTGCTCGAACTGAGTCTCGCTCGAAGGAGCCTCGCGCGCGAACGGGGCATTCGAAAGTGTGTATAAGGTCAGGGCTGGCCGGCGCCAGGCCCCGGCCTCAGGTCGGGGCTGACAAATAGTCCTGGCTACTCGATTCGAAGGTACGCCCGCAGTTAACTGGCGGCGACAGTCGCGCATATTTCCGAAACATAAGCGCTGCACCTTTCGCGCTTCTAGACGTGCACAAAAGAAACATCGTCCCTCGGGAGGCAGGTCGCCCACCACGTCGCAGGTCGTGGATAGAGGCGACGCCAAAGACGAGGGGGGGGGGTGGAGAAGGTTTCGTTAAAGTCGCTCGTAAAATTCGCGTTGATTTGCTTGTAGCGGCACCCGGGGAGGTGGCGATAAATTAGGAACGATACTTTGCTGCGGGGACAGGGTCGCTCGCGCGAAGCCCGCCGTTTTCTGCCGTTTGTCCGATTTATACGAAAGCCGCGCGCAAGAACTTGCTGTATAAATTATTCCAAGGCGGCGGGTTCGGAGGCAAGGCACTCTCGCTTGCGGCGCGAGCGCGCCCGGCGGGCTTAATTTCGTTCGCGTATTTCCACCGATTTTCCACATCAGCGCAATCCGGGAGATCCCTCCCGGAAAGGCGCTCTCGGAAGCGAGAAGGCGACTCGGGATCACGACGTGACAAGCGGATTCGAGGATCTCTCGCGGAACGAATTGAGCCCATAGTCCTGGTCTCGCGCGGCGAGACGTGACGGGAAAACCGCGCGAATTAATCGGAATGATTGGCCGTAAGGTCGAGAGCGTTGAAACGCGCCGAGCACGATTCGTTCGCCGCCGCCGCCGCTCGCTCAGCTCCTTCAGACTCCTTCAGATCTCGGCCGGGCGGCCGAGAGGAAAAAAGCGGAAAACGAACGGGAGCTCGTGTCTCTCTGCACACGTCGCGTTAATATTAGGCACGTCGATTAATTGCTACACCGTGAACAACGCAGCGTCGCAAGCCGCGTTCTCGCTCGCGCCGTTACCGTTCGCGGTAGCGACGACACGCCGGATACGTTACGGTGCCGCTCTCCGCACTCTTCAACAGCGGCTGCGGAGTATTCAGGATGTCGATCCGCCGCTGTTTATGGCGCCCGATGGTCGACGACGCGAGGCGTCAGGCATTTTTCGGGCGTCGATGCATTTGCTCGCTCGACGAGCGACGTCGAGCGATCGAGGTGAGTTAACATGTAGCTCAGCCGTTATGCTTCAATAATCGGGCACGGCGATAAAGTTCGTGACGAGACGGCTGCTGGCAGCAGCTCGTGTTGGACGAGACGACGTGCTTCGCTCCTAAGCGCGTGCATACGTCCGATGAAATTGCAACGCGCGCCGCGGGCGACGGCGGCTGCCGTTGCCGGCCGCTGAGCGTTCGGAGGCGCGCCTTCGACCATCCGGGGAAAACCGAGCCGGTTGTGAGGAAATTGGAATCGTTTTCTCAAAGTGCCTCCTCTCCTCCCGCAGTCGTTTGCCTTTTCCGCGGAAAATCGCGCGAGCGCGGCGGTCATGATTAGTCGATCCTACGTAATCCATTATGCATTCTCTTGAGGCGCATCCAGCGCTTTATCCTTCGGCTCCAGCCGAGTCGGAGATCGGTATCGGGTGCGCGTTTATGCGAGCGGAAAATAAGAAGGCGGATGTAACGAGCGTGCGAGAGCGGGAGGGAAATCCATCCTCCCGGCCGGCGCATTGGCACCAACGCTCGCTCGCTCGCTCGTCCGCTCGCCCGCGGTTATCCAACACCGCGCGGCGTGTCGCGCAGTGCGTTTACACCGGAAACGCGATCGCCGGAAGTCATCGTGGCCGATTCGTTTTGTTGTTCTGCGTTCTGCGAAACGCACGCACCGCCGCGAGCGTTTCTCGCTCGTCTTGGGACGTCGCGAAAGCTCCTGAGCGCGCGCGCGTCTGACATTCGTCAAAGTCGAGTCTGTCGCGGATGAAACCCTCCTCTTCTCTTTGGAGGAGAGAAAACACACATGAGACCAATCGTAACGACAGCTCGCGGAAGCTGCGTCTCAGTAGTCGATTAATTTGCGACTGGTATCTGCTATTTCTCGTCTCTCTCCTCCGGCTCCTTGACTTTTTTTCGCGGGGCGACGATATTTTCGTGATTGACACTCCTCGGCCCCGATTCACAGTCACGACACTGATATTCCGTTCGTTGCGATGGTAATCCCCGTCGAATCCGAGGACAGAGTATCCTCCATTCATCGCCTTGCACGTCTATCTCCGTTCTCCAATCGCGACGTTTTAATTAACTGCTCCCGGGCAATCTACTTTCTAAGCTCAGGCACGGGCGAGCGCGACGAGACTGGAATTATAAAATCTAAACGGCGATTTCTTTTTTCCAAGCGCGAATTCTTTTCCTTCTTTCTTTTTCCTGCCTTCCATCCCTCCTTCGTTCCTTTTTCTCTCTACTCTCTCTTTCTCTCTCTCTCTCTCTCTCTCTCTCTCTCTCTCTCTCTCTCTCTCTCTCTCTCTCTCTCTCTCTTCTTGCGGCCAGCATCTTCGCGAAGCGCGTCCTTCATGCCCTGCATTGCGCGCGTGTACGAGAATTTAGATGTACCGCGATAATTCAATGGCGACGATTTATACGAACGCGCGGAATGTTGCTTGCCACTTTGAAGACCAGCAAGTGCGCTCGGCTTTAATTGCCGAGAGGATCGGCAATTAAAGCCGAGCGAGCGCAATCGCGAGTCGCGACGTGGAAATGGAGATTTTCGCGCCGCCCATCTCGTTTTCCTCAAGTTGCGGCGCAACAACGTGCGCTTACGCAACACTTGCGTGAAGGAAAGCCACATCCAAATATACGCAACGCAATCAAGAACGTTGCCCGTCTTTCTCCTCCTTCCGCCGCGAAATTCTACTTTCCACCGACGAGCCCGCGATTCTGTTCGACGCGCTTCCAACGGAAGCGAACAACTCGCCGATCTCGCGCGCAGGACAATCTGCGGAGCAGCAGGATTCGCCGCGCGAATCGCGGCTCAAGATGGAGATCTCACGGAGATTCGCGCGCGCAGAACTCGCGCGATGCGATCTCGGCGGAGGAACAAAAATACGATGGAAGGAGCAGGCCTCGCGAGCAAAAATATTAGACGGCCGATCTCGGCCGATCCTCCGGGGAGTTATCGATCACGCGCGAACACCGCGAGCAGTAGCCACGTGCTGCGCGCTTGTAATAGACATGCACCTGATCGCGCCGCCTCGGCCGGGAACCTTGACTCTTTTGTTTACCCACGGCACTCATAAATCATCGGATCGTTCCCTCGATCCTTTCGCGTGCGCGCGCGCGGCCCGGAACCGTGTAATTATACTTTTCAGAGATCCCCTCTTCCTCTCTCTTTCTCTTTATCTACTTATCTATCCATCTATCTATTTATCCCTATCTATCTATTTATCTATTTATTTATTTATCAATCTATTTCTATCTCGCAGGTTTTCACTCGCTCGCGATGGCCTGCTCGCTCGTTTTGCGTCCGGATGGCATAAATTCTCTCTCTCTCTCTCTCTCTCTCTCCGTCTCTCTCACAGGAATGAGAGACCCGGTCTCAGAGGAAGGAGGTCCGTCCGGCTCGCGCGTTTCTTTCTTTCGCCGGCCGTGGAATCTTTCAGAAAGGACGTTTCTCCTTCGGGCACGCGGGCGCACCTTTCTCTCTTTGTTCGCCATTCGGTTTCTTTTTTTTTTCGGCCGCCGTTTATATTGTTTACATTTCCTATGCGTCGCGCATACCATGCGCCATGCGCTTTTTGCGAGCATCTCATTCGCGAGAGACAGGACGCGCTCGAAGCGCGCCGAGGAAGTCGCGTGCGAACTTTTTTTCGTGGTCTGCTCGACGGCGGGATCTTCAGCGGAATTCGAAACGCTGACGATTGCTCGCTCGTTCGCGGGAGATTGTCCGTGTAATTTCACGGTGTGTTTTCAGGCAAGGTTGAGAACCGGCGCGAAAATTCCTCGGCATTCAATCAATTATCGGCAGAATCCGAATGTCGAGAAATGCTCGCGCGAGCGTTTCGAACATTTCCTTTTCCCCTGCCGATCGAAAGATACGACACGCCGATACCGACTTGTTCGATGAATCGGTTGCGATATTTTGTCTCCCTACTTAGGTGGAAAAATGAGGCGTATTCGTGCGTTGACTCGATCCCGTGGATCTTACAAGTAAACCTCGAGGAACGTCAGACGTCGACTTGTTTCCAATTTTTTATAGTTATTTTTAATGTCAAAATACAAAGAAATCTGTTATCATTTTAGCTTAAATTAATTTTTTTCAATTTTGTCGAAATTTCTGAAGGTTTTCGTTCATTCTTTTTTTCGTTTCTTCGTTCGTTTCTTGTTCATTTTTTACCAGATTTTGACGTTAAAATGAGCTTATTTGCTGTATAGTCAGCCGAAAGATTACCCAACGTCGAATGTAGCGTAAAACTGAACATTTTTTCAACAATGACGTCAGCCATATTAGACCCGCCATTTTGAATTTTACAAAATGGTTCTGATTCATAATCGGCGACATGTGTGTGCAAGTTTCAACAAATCAGATATATATATTTTCTTAAGAAATATTGTTTTAAATATGTATAAAATAGTGTACTTGTGCAAAACTTTAAAAACTTCGAAAAAATTGAAAAAAATTAATTCAAGCTAAAATTCCAGCTTAAAATGATAACAGATTTCTTCATATTTTGACATAAAAAATAACTATAAAAAATTGGAAACATCGGCGTCTGAGGTTCCCCGAGGTTTACTCGTTAGCAAGAATCATTGCAATTACATTCGAGACAACGACAGAAGAGCCATCGGCCACGCTCAGTCCCGCGAAACGCACAACCGCTCGTTCTCTCGTGCGCGCACCACAAGTCGATCCAAGTCATGAGCTCGTCAACGAGGCGGATCGTCGATTCGCACAATCGCGCAGGAGCCGCGATAGCCGCGCGAGCGCCTGTCTCAGCAACTGCCGGCAACGGCCGGCGCGCAAAGTGGAACAGTCGTGGAAAAACCGCTGAATTTTCCCGCGGCGAGAAATTCCGCCAGAGCCGCCAAAGATCCCCGTGCACTTTCACCGATCGTTTATAGAGAGACACCGCCGTGTATCGCGAGTGGCGATCGAGAGGCCTCAATAATGCAGGCGAGCCTGCATTCAGCATCGAGACGCGAAGAACAGCGCGGCGGCGCGGCGTGTCGATCGCGCGCGTCAAACGAAGCGCGCGAGTGAAACGTATCGAGGCCTTATCCTTCCCCCCTTCCCGCTTGCCGCTGTCCAGTTGGGCACCGTTATTACCCAACGATTTTTCCTAACGATTTTTCAAACGGTACACAACGATCGCGCGGGAGATTTCGATCCTCACCGCGGCTAAAACAGCGCTCGGAAGAAAGTGAAACTCACCGCTCCGGCGGAGCGCAGGAACTTCGAACACGTTGCGGACGGACATGCGATATGGCGGCGATTAAACTGGAATGATTTCAGGTAATCGCCTCCCCCCCCCTCAATTAACGTCGTTTGAATTTCGCGCTTTTACCAGGATGTAACGGGACGGCATTAACACAAAGCGAGCGAGTTAAATGAACCCCCCCCCCGTGCCCCCCGTGTGGCCGCCGTTATTACGGGGCGATCATAAATACGCCGCCATAAATCCGGCGTGAGGCGCTGCCGACCTGCATCGGGACTTTCTCGGGCTGCGAATTTTGCGATATCGAGTCGCCGAACCGTGTGCGTGGCTCGTCTCTCCTCGCAGCGTATACCCTTCACGGCTATCCGATTCCGGCTTCCACGCTTCGCATCTGCGGTTTTCCTTCCGGGCGTCTGAGCGTTGCCGCGGAGCGTCGGCCGGATTCACGGGGCCCGGCAACGCGCGCGGATGTTCTTCTCCGGCTGTGCAAAAAGAGCCAGAACAGAAAGCATCTCCGCCTGCGACCTATGTAAAGCGCGAAAGAAGAAATCGCCGAGCGATTCAACGTAAAATCCAATTATACAGATCGTGACCCCCCTCCGTGTCCTGCTCTCCTCCTTTTTTCTCTCTTTGGCCTCTCTCTCTTTCTCTCTCTCTCTCTCTCTCTCTCTCTCTTCTCTCTCTAGGTCGCGAGCGACCGCTTCCCGCGGAATCGTCGTCATGGGCGTGGTGCGCTGCGGTTCGGCTTCGTTAAACTTTACGAATAATTCGCGAAGTCGTCCGGTGCGGATAAGCGGGATAGCTCGTCCGTCTCGCGTTTCATCGGAAGCCGCCGAGTCGCGATCGACTCGATTCGCCTTCGCAACTCGCCGGAAATTATGCCGTTAAAATCCTGCCCGGTCGCGGCGGCAAATGTAAATTAAGTTTTTCTCGCCGGTCGAGCGTCTGGGAATGCGAACGGAAACGTGTGTGTGTTTCTCTGTTTCGCGATATGCTCGTGACATTAAAGAATCGCATTATGATATGATCGCGATCGCGCGATATCCAAATGGGCTCGGCTTCCTTTCCGTGAAAACGTGCCAGCTTCATGCCGTTATTTCTCGATCCTCGCGCCGTGCGAGGGAAAAGTCGTGGCGAGCAAGTTTTCTTCTGAATTCCGAATTATGGGTCACTTATGAATCGAATATCGCGCTAACGGGCTAACATAATCATTCCAAAGGCAGAGGCTCGACGTCGCGCGCCTGCGCTGTCGCGTTATTTATTCATCGTGCGACTTACCGGTTCACTTTGCCCTCGACCGCAGAGAACACGAGGAAATCCCTGTTGACGCGAAGCCAAAGCGACCGGTCGTTCAGCCGACCGGAGGTCTCGGCGGCCGACGTGCTGTTCTCGGACACGATGCGCCTCAGCCTGTGCAAGAAGATGAAGGAGCCGTCGTCCGCCTGTACTACGCCCACGTGCGCGGTCACGCGCGAGGACGCCGACGAGGAAGGCTCGAGAAAGGACGAGACCGAGGAAGAAGAAGAGGAGGAAGAAGAAGAAGAGACGAGCGTCACCGGCGGGCTCAAGGGGTTCGAGCGCGAGGTCGAGGCGAGCAAGAACGTTAAGGAGGGCCCTGAGAAGAGCAACGTCGAGAAAGAGGCGGAGCCGCCGCCGCCGCCGCCGCCGCTGCCGCCGCCGGACGCGCGCAGCGATATTTCCGATACCGGCAACGAGCACTTCCGCACGATGAGACCCACGAGCTGGTCCCCGCCGCCAGGTAGGCAACGGCATCGCTTCAAGATCAGCGACTCCGCGCTGCTGGACCTGGACGAGAGCAACGGCTCGGTCAGGGATCACCGCAGGACCATCTCGTCGGCGTCGACCGCCTCGTGGAACTCGAGCAGCTCGTACGGTTCGTCGAAGATCGAGATCGGCTCGCCTGAGAGCAACGTCTGCAAGATCACGGTGAGCCCGCTCTCGTCGCCGCTCGTCCACCGTCTGCAGATCGGGCCGGATTCCGGCACGAGGACCGCCCGAAGAACGTCCATCCTGATCAACGGCGATCATCAGAGCGCGACGAGCGTAGAAGCGCCGCAGCCCGGCAATAAGGTGACCATCAGCGTCGGCGGCGAGGACAGCGTGTGCAATCCGACGGTGATCTCCGTGAACTCGGAGAACCCGCCGAAGATCCAGAGCTCCGGCGAGAACCGGACCCTGGTGATACTCGAGAATTACAGATCGAACATCGTGGTGGAGTCCTCGGCGGCCGAGGACTCGCGCTTCAGGTCGGTGGCGAAGGATAATCACGTGGCGGCCGAGGATGGTTTCGAGACGAGCTCCAAGACGAGCGACGAGGCACCCTCGACGCCCAGCGAGGAGACCCCGCCGTGTCACATGGAGCAGCCGTGTCCGATGAACCTGGAGAAGCAGAAGTTGAGCGTCGAGATCAAGTCGACCAGCAGCAGCAGCCAGTCGTCGAGGCTGTACACGAGCGACGAGAGAACGTCGCGGACGGAGTCCAAGATGCGGCTCAAGGACGTTGAGGGTTCTTCGTCCAAGCTGTCGGGTTTGTCGAAAGAGGAACTCATCTCCAAGCTGCTCGAAGATTCCTTGCGGAAAGCTCGTGAGAACGGCGAGATCCTCGACGAAGATAGCGGCGAGGCGATTTTGAAGATCTTGAAGCAAAGTCTGCTGAAGAGCAAAGAGTACGAAAGCTCCGAGTCCACCGTTGAGGCCAACTACTCCAGGTCGTCCAGCTTGAACTCGGACGGCGACTTCATCTCCACGAATCTCTTCCTCGAGGAGAATCCTTACGAGGTGATCAAGGAGCCGATCTATGAGGAGATACCAGACGAGCCGCCGCCGTTGCCACTGAGCCCACCGCCCACGGAGGATTACATCAAGGACAGGATCTACTTCGGTGACGTTGATTACTACAAGAAGGTCTCGTCGGGTCAGTTCCGGGTCCTCGGTCCGTATCTGTCTGAGGAAGTTTTCAAAAAGTCCAACTCGGAGGATTTGGCCGAGACTTACTTGTCGAAGAGTCCTGAGGATTTTTTCAAGAAGATATCAACGTCGCCCGAGGACGAGAACATCTCCACCAAGTTCGAGCTGCTGAACTTCTTGATGGACTCCAAGGATCGCACTCGACCGACGGAGGAGGACGAGGACGACGACGACGACGACGAGGAGGATGACGCTGAGGGAGACTTGGAAGCTCTCTATGAGCAGAAGGAGACCAGTTTGGGCGATCTCAGCTCCAAGAGCTCGCAGATCTCCAACGTTTCCGACAGCAGCGAAGAGTGCAACATCATCCTGACCAGTTCGCCGGAAACGTTGAAGGTGATTTCGACGTTTATCGCCCGAATGATTGAGTTTTTTATTTATTTATTTTTTTTCAGATACTTTCGCACCTCGAAATCGCGTGTTCGCATTAAAACTCGAAAACAAACGCTGATCCACTTCGAAAGTCAATTACCCTTCACTTTTAATTAAAGAATCGATCTGTTTATCTCTTAAAAGTCCCAGATTACTATCGGAGCTATTCTTGTCGGAAGTATAAAATATAGCCGAAAATACCAATCAGACACAGTTTGATTTTCTTCGATAAAGGAGAAACATTCTACAAGCGGAACACTGACCGCCAGTGAACCCACTAAAATTGCCTCCCATCATTCTTGCAGTCAAGAACAGTCGACATAGAAAGGACCGACAGCGGAGTCGGTTCCGAGAGCAGTCAGGCCAGCAGCACTCGCGGTGTCGCGAGACGCTGGAGATCGGGCAACGTCTCCTCGGGGCCGGGGAGCCTCCTCGGCGGCATCCCGCAGGTGATCTCCGGCGCCACGAAGCTGTGCGAGGATTGCGAGCAACGGCTGGACCCTCTGATAACGGACAGGTGAGTTACAGGATCGTTCGAGATATCCGCGAGCGTCGGAACCGTTACGACGATTTCGTCGACGAGACGTCTCGATCCCGGCGCTAGCGTGATGCGGGAAGTCCTAGCAGGCTCGTGGGCCTCCATTGTCCCGCGGAAAAATCACGCTGACAATCGCGCGGCCTATTCAACGGGCCATTATCGCAAAAGAGCGCGCGTTGTACCGTAAGGACTTATAAAGCGGGGATTATTTCGCCGGAGAGTGCCGTCGAAAAAGCGCGTCCGCGAGAAACGGCAACGCGCGTGATTAACGGTCACGTTATTTTTCGTGTCTCCTTTCTCCTCGCCTTGTCTCATTCTCTCTCTCTCTCTTTCTCTCTCTCTCTCTCTCTCTCTCTCTCTCTCTCTCTTTCTCTCTCTCTCTCTTTCTTTCTCGCGCGCACGGAACACGCGTCACATTACTGAACGCATAAGCGACACGGCGATGAGCGATATCTCGACGGATACATCGCTCTCGCATTTTAGCGCCGCGCCTCTTGCGACAGCCAGGCCGCCCCGCCTCGTCTCCTTCCATGAAAACTCGTTCCGATGCGCCGCCAACCGTCCTAAATCTCGCGCTGTTATCACTTCTAGCAGATAGCGCGCGATGATCCGGAGAGAGGATATAACGGTGCCCGCGGAGTCCTCTCGGCGGAGCGTATCTTCCACGGCCGTGGCGGCCGAGTTTCGACCGTGAGAGTTTCGGCTCCGGCGCGAGCTACGCGCGAGTTCGGCGCGAGTTCGGCGCGAGTTCGGCGCGAGCTCCGCGCGAGCTCCGCACGGAGGGATAATTCCTCGGCTCCCTCGTCGTCGACTGCGAGCGATAGATTTTTCCGCTCGCGCTCGCGCGCGTGATGCCGGTTCTGCCCTGGTCTTCCAGGTGGCAATTTCGCGTAGCGAGGAACGAATGCCGTTTCGTTACGGTCACCGGCGAATCTTCTGATCCCTCGTCCGCCGTCGCGATTCGCGTCGATCCGCGTTCTTCCCACGGGAGATTGATCGACAGACGGACGCTTTCCGCCGAATTGAACACGAGTCTTCCGGCAGTCCCTCCGCGCGCTTTCGCGACTTGCATCATGATTTGAGTCGCGACAGCGCGTGCCACAGTCGGCGATGAAGTTGTATATCTGTAATGCCCGGTCTAAAGTAAGAGCGTGTACGGTATAAATAGCATTGGCTTCAATATCGTCCTAGTTTTTTTCTGAGCCGTATTGTGAGGCATATCTCAAGCACAAGCTTCGAGGAAAAAGAGTGTACACTTTGAAGCAGCTGACACGACAAATTCGTCTCATTTGGAGGTCTTTACCGAACGAATACGCAGTTAACTTCGTGGAAAGTATATGCCTCGGCAGATGCCAGGCAATTATCAATGCCGGTGGTGACTGGACTCATTATTAATGGTACAGCGTTTTTCTTCTCATGGAGTACAACAAATCCATGTACTTAAAAATCATTAAAAATAAATTTTTCTACACATTAACCCGTACACGCTCTTACTTTACAGACTGTAAATCGCAAGTCGCAAATCGCCCACGCGGAACACGTTGACCAAAACATACAAAATGAAATAAAAATTGAAATAAAAATATTGAAATAAAAATTGAAGTCTCACACAAGTCTCTTAGGTTTCCTACGTTTGGCTCGCAAAACGTACGATGATTCTCACCCGTTCTTCTTATATTTAGTCCGATATACGTACCACGAGCCTGTTTCTTATGTTTGGCCCGAATTCCTCACCACGAGTCTCATACGATATTATAGGCGAAGGGGGATTAATCGGGGATTTTCCTGCTCGACGCGACGCGCGTATTTCTGCGATGTCTCCGTACGTTCAGCGGAGATGGTAATTAGGAATACATTTCAAATCGGCGAGCTGCCGGGCGCGCGCGACTAGATTACGCGACGGCATTACCTGGCAGACCGGGCCACTTTCTCCCGCTGTCGATTTTATTTAGCCGAGAGCGAAAGCGTCGTTATCGAAGAGCGCAGTTGACGCTCGATGAATGGATAATGCAATATGCGCGTCTGGCCGACTGCGGCTCGCGACGGCCGCTTTCATCTGGAATCCGTGGGTTATACGGACGGACTCGTAACGTCGGCATTACGTGCGTAAGAATCGTAATCATGCGAAGACTCGTCTTCGGGCGATTAACAATGTTGCGTCGTAACGCGCGCGCGGTCAGGCCCGTGTTATCGCTCGTGAATGTCTCCACTTTCGTCGTATCTCTTGCAGCGGCGTGGTTTACGCGCCTTTCGTATGCAGGAAGTGCTCGAAGAAGCGGGCTGAGCGGAAGGAGATCATCACGGAGATTGTGGAGACCGAGCAGAAGTACGGGCGGGACCTGCAGATCATACTCGAGGAGTTCCACCGGCCTATGCTGCGAGCGGGCCTCCTTACGTCGGAGCAGCTGTCGGCGATCTTCCTCAACGTCGAGGAGCTGCTCGAGCACAACCTCGTGTTGGCTGAGAAGCTAAAGGACAGCGTGGAGATCGCCCAGGTGAGGAGGAACTGCCGCACTTAGGATATTTCTCCATTCTGATTTCCATTCTGATTGCAACGAGGGTATCGAGTCAGTCGAAGAGTTCGGTTCGACTTACAGTAGATTGCATAATAAAGCATAATGCTAACAACAGTGCTCTAAATCGCCGAAACATCGATGAAGGATCATGCGAGACTCGTAAGAAACGACAGCGATCACTCGCTTCTTGATGGAGAAATGATTTTTATTGAGATAGAGTTGAACTTGAGTCAAACTTGAATACAGCCGTATTTTTTTAAGCGATCCGACAAATCGAGAACAGCTGCATACTGCGTTCAATGACGTACGTTTGATCCCTCCAATCGCGCAGGTATCCGGGGACGAGGATCTTCTGACGGTGGACGTGGGCAAAATCTTCCTCGAGTCGGAGAGAATGCTTCACGCCTTCGAGAGCTACTGCACGCGCCAAGGTAGCGCCAGCCTGCTGCTGCAAAACTTGGAGAAGGAGAAGGAGCTCCTCCGAATCTTCCTCAGGGTCTCCCAAATGGAGAACACGGTCCTGCGGAGGATGAATCTAAACTCCTTTTTAATGGTAGAGTTCAAGCTCCTAGTTTAGCTTCTTATTAATTCTTGCTTAACAGCTTCGGAGGACAAAAGTAAGTTTATTTAACCTTTCACTGTATCTCTTTCAGGTTCCTGTTCAAAGAGTCACAAAGTATCCGTTGCTGCTGGCACGTTTGCTCAAGGCAACACCCTCCGTTCGACCAGACATTCAAGAGGCGAAGAAGAGACTCAAGCAGGCTCAAACCAACATCGAGTTACACTTGGAACACATGAATGCTGTAAGCGAATTACATTATTTATGTTGCAATCGTAACGCGAGGTCAATTCACGAAGGTAAACGCGGATTTCGGCAATAGGAAGCGAAGGATGTTACGTCGACAAAGTTGTGGAGGAGAATATCGATCATCCAAAATGGCAGACGGTCCATCGGCGAACAGGATATGGTGAATATTAAGCTGAGAAAGGTATGCAAACAGCGAATTCCTTTGTCGGGTTATTACTCCTTTGCATTCTCAATGCTCGAGCACGACTGACGAGATATTATCGTTAACACAACATTTACGCCAGATGGCCGTTGAGATCCTGGAATGGGCTCACGAGGAGGCCAGGTTTGTTCTCGAAGGCCGCCTTCTGGTGGCGCAGCCGACTGACAATAATTGGAGGCGCGGTCGAACTGTCAAACTCGCGCCCGTCACTGCCATGCTTGTTACTAACGGCAAGGTAAACGTATTGAAATTCTTCTGTATGATATCGAGCGATGTCACAATGTGTTGTTCGCTCGACGAATGAAATTCCTGCCTTTTTTGTCCAGTCGAACGCCGAGTATCTCGAATTTAACGACGACTCGCTCTTTCCCAAGCATATAGACATCAAGGAAGCTACCCTGCTCTTGGTAAAGGAGAAACTTGGACGGTATTCCTTACTACGAGTGAGTCGTGTATCTTGTTTTTACGTTGCGATAGTCTCGTCGTCGAACACGTCCACATATTTCGACACAATCCGCTCATTTCAGGAGCCGTTGTATCTCGACAAGTGCATAGTGTGCTGTGAAACGGATCTCGAGGATTACTTTGAAATACAGGAATTGTCTTCCAAGGAGACATTTATATTTAAGGTAAAGCAACATGTCCGTTAAATATTCACTCGAGACGTGAGTTATCACATCGCGATTCAATCGTCATGAGCGACAAGAAAAATTCAGTCAGAGGGAATAGTTGCGTAGTTATCTTAAAAGACGATTCCGTTTTCGTCCTTTGCAGGCGGAGGACGGCGCGAGAACGAAAAGATGGTGCCGAACGTTGCAGGCTCACGCGCAGTCACTTGGTGCTTGGCGCAAACGTCGGGGGGCACTTCCCAACATCATGATCTGCGGCGTGGCGAGGAATTAACGAAGGCTCGATATAGTTATGCGTTATGCGCGACGTGCCTGATGCGCTTCCGACTCGATGTCGATGGAACGGGATTTTGCCACGGAACGACACGCAAGGTCGCCCAGGCGATCTCTAAGTACGAATTCGTGTGCATGATCTCTGGATGAATTAGTAACGATTTATTGGGTAGAAAGAGAGGAAGGAGAGGAAGGAGAGAAAGAGAGAGAAAGAGAGAAATACGCTGGACCAAAGGATTTTTTCGGCTCGTCGACGCGCTCCCGTCGCTGACGAGTGACACGAAAGTCTAGTTCTTTACCGAATATCAAGGTAAACCAACTTGTGTTCGGTTACAGTGCGCAGCAGAGACTCGAGTTTCCTACGTCACTGTAATTAAGAATGGCGCAACAGCGTGTACGTGTACACCGCGAGAGCCGCGCATACAAACTTCTATCCGACATCTGTCGATTCCTAAACGAGTAACTCTAAGTACACATACATAATATATATGTTTGCATACGTACGTATAGGACTATTTAAAAGTACACCTACGATTATACTCTGCTGAAAGAAATGAAAACACGACGAGTAGCTGTGATATCGACCGGTGTATTGGGGGTATCCGTTTCCTTTTCGCAGATTATTACTTCGCGCGCGCGCGCGCGCGGATGTTCCCGCCTCGTTGACTCTTCGCCATGCGCGAGAGTCTTCTCGTCCGATATCGCGCATTACGAAAACGAAGGTGATAGGATAAATGTTTTGCTAGATCCCGAGATAATGAGGTTCGCGGTAACGGTGAATTCACGTATGAATCAGCAGCATCGAGGATAACAGGGTGCCGTGCCGCGTGTTGTGACTCCATGCGCGCGATCGACGCGAGCACTGAGAATTCGTTAAACTAAGAACACTTACTTCTCCTCTCCCCTCCCCCGACCACTTCAGCAATTACTCACCCACAGGATGATTAACAGTATTTTATTTTACTACGTCTAACACCCGCAAACTACGAATTTTGTACATTGTACGATATTTTTATTTAAGCGCTAAGAGCTACACGTGTATGTATATAAATGTATATTTACAGATGTCCTTCCAACAGTTCTCTAACCGGAATTCATTGTAACGAATTAATTTGCTCCATTACGCAATAGTTGCAATTTAATAAAAGTGATGTAACGCGCGTTCGCGTGTCTTCAAATGTGCGAATCCACCACCACCGTGGATCTGGAACTCTCGTTCCTTTCTTCTATATCTCCGCTTACCTTATCCTCGACAACGACATTTTGTGTGTTGAATTGCGGCAATAAATGCCGGCTCGCACGGTAATTATACATTTCGAGCTCCGGATGCTTCTCGAGCAGGTACTTGTAAGCAGTAGCTAGCCTGTCGATATCATTCACGGTAAGTTGCGTGGGTCTGATGGTGGGATCCAGGTCAGACAGTTTGTACATCATCATAGCTAATTCTTTTCGGCAATGCAACGGGAAGAGAGTCCTGTCGAGGAGAGAAAGAAAAATTCTCGCTCTGATTCGTTTCACTCGTTGCACTTACAAATAGATGTTTGCAACGTAAACTTGTAGACTTACTCGACGCATCGTATACTGTATTTCTGCCTAAAACTGAACACATGCCTGACGATTTTCTCAAAGAATTTGAAGTCGTGTTGCGTGCACGGCTTCGTCAACGGCGTGAACGACACCACTCCCACATCCACGTCTGGCTGCGGAACGAAAACGTGGCCTACGAATTAAATACATAAGAGGCAAGTGACAATCTCCTTTTAGGTGAAAGAAATTTAGAATCGCTTATTTGTCATGTCAATCGCGTGAACTTACCAGGTATAACAAAACGAAGTACCGGGAAGGTCCAGGCTTGCGCCATCACTGACAGTCTGCACCGCTGTTCGCTTGACTCCGGCGCGACCAAACGTTCCGCTACTTCCTTTTGAAACGTCAAAGTCATTTTCGTCCTGCCAAACGCCCAGGCTCCTCGACGTTCGGCGATCGAATGCAACCACTGGATTATGAGTGGCGTCGACACGTTGAACGGTAAATTACCTATAAGAAAGAGGTCTGGGGGTTTGTCGTTCCAGTTCATTTTCTTCTCCTTCGGAAATAGACTCTCTATGTGCGCTCTCATGATGTCGTCGAATATTATGTCCACCTTCCTGTTAATCATTGCAAACGAGTCCGCCAGTATATCCAATGTCGGCTCGAACCTCTTATCCTTTTCCACGAGCACTATCCGTTCCGGTAATCGTTTCATGATGGACCGAGTGAGCCCACCCGGACCGGGACCAACTTCCAGTACATGACTATCAGTGAGATTCCCTGCCTTGTGTATAATCTTGTCGCAAATATTTTGATCCAATAAGAAATTTTGTGACAAACGTTTCACGGCGTTCAAGTGGTATATCTTTAAAATGTCTCTGATCGACGGGAGCGGTGGTAATCGTGGAACGGACATTCTCAGATGTTTATATCGTTGTACTTAAAGTAAGCACACTTGATTAAATAGGTAACTGTAGAATGCGGTTTGCAGGGAAGAAACTATCTGTGTGAATTTGTGATTATACTGTATAAGCTTGTAAAAATATGACAGTTGTCAACAATCAGCTAGGAGCTTCTTAATTCGAATTTCCACAAATGATTACTTTAAGCAACTTTATTAATTGTTTTTTCAGGCTTCTCAAAATCATCCAGGAATTTTTCTTGCTTAAATGAATATATTGTATATGTATAAATTGCAATAACTCCAAGAGTTAATGCAAATGCAGTTCGATTGTTAGCTTTGCGGTAACCCCTTACTTTCTGAGCTCTTTTTATATTCTCTTCCTCCAAGCGTTTCATGTAAACTATATCCGTGGACTTGAACCTCGAGACATCTTTCAACAAGTCAATCTTAGGCATAGTCTCATTTTGCTCAAGTTGATTCTCTATAGATAAAATAATTAATTTCATATATGTAAAAAGAAAATTGTATAATATATACAATTAAGATCAATCACCAGAACCCATTTCCACACACCAGTTCCCTTGATCAATTATAACTCCCTAGTCCTTTAATCTATATAGTCCTTGCTGGTTCGTCAATATCTGTCAAATAAAAAAAGACATTTCAGTATTTTAATATTCTCTTTTTTATATTATATACATTATTTTGCTCCAAGTTCGCATTGGTTATGTATTTAAATTAATTGATTAATATTAGAAATTATATTATTCTTATACATTGCATGTGTATAAGGAATTATCTAATACACTCATAACAGAGAGAGGAAGAGAGAAAATTCAACTATCAAAATCACTAGATCTATTTCAGTAAATTTATAGTGCATAAGAGACTGTTCACCACATAAACTTTAACTTAATAAAATTCGTTGTTAAAATTTCCTGCTCGCACAAGTATAGGAATATATTTGATTTAGTATAGACAATGTCTATTTAAAATTATGATCTTTAGGTTAAGTTAACTGCAATCTTAAGATACCTACAATACGAGTAAATATCATCAAACAATAATAATAAGAAGAACATTAAATACTTAATATAATAATAAGAAATTCAACAATCATATAATAAATACAATTTTCTAATTCGCTTAAAATCACGATACCTTTTTACCGTCGTAATGAACAAAAAAGTATTAAAGCACCGACGAAATACTAATAAAGACCGTCAGTCTTATGGGATTTAAGCCAGCGGCACACAGTGCTTGTTTTCGTGCTGGATTGCTTGCTGGATGAAAATACTGCTTTCTGATTGGTGCATTTCAGAAGATGGATGGAAATGCACCAATCAGAAAGCAGTATTTTCATCCAGCAAGCAATCCAGCACGAAAACAAGCACCGTTTGCCGCTGCCTTAACAGAGAAATCTCTCTGAGCGCTAACGCCCTCTTAGGAATATCGTGGCTGGAATATGAACCTGTACTTCGAAATAAGCATAAAAAGTAACAAATATGAAATAATGGCAACGATGAGGAAATATAAAGCGGCTTTCTTAAGGCTCGTCTACAATAGCTGTAAGAGTAAGGCCGTAAGGCTGTAACGTAAGCTGTCAGCGAATGAAAATATTTCATTTCGTGTCTTGCAACCTTACAGCCTTACTCTTACAGCTAATGTAGACGAGACTTTAGGCCTGATCTACAATAGGTGTTGTAAGCTGTAAGCCGCAAGAACTGATCAATTATAGCCGATTATTTTTGTAATAATCGACTGTGATTCGCCAATTCTTACGCCTTACAACTTACGACACGTATTGTAGATCAGGCCTTATTCCCGGAAAATTTGTCAAACGTGGGCTTTCGTTATCGGGGACCTCTCGCATAATAAATGATTCCACATACCTGGAAACGTGAGGGCTTGAGAGGGCTTCATTTTGGTGCCAGACCCAGGCCTGTATCTCTAACCGTTTAGGAGATATCGAAGATTAAAGTTTCCCAACCTTTCTCCGTTGATATCTCCGCTTCTACTGGGAGTAGAGAGCCGTCCATATAGTCGAAAATGTAGGGTTTTGAGAGGACTTTATTTTGGTGCCAGACCAAGGCCTGTATCTCTAACCGTTTAGGAGATATCGAAAATTAAAGTTTTCCAACCTTTCTCCGTTCATATCGTTGATACTCCGCTTCTACTGGGAGTAGAGAGTCGTCCATGTAGTCGAAAATGTAGGGTTTTGAGAGGGCTTTATTTTGATGCCAGACCCAGGCCTGTATCTCTAACCGTTTAGGAGATATCGAAGTTTAAAGTGTTCTAACATTTCTCCGTTGATATCTCCGCTTCTACTGAGAGTAGAGAGTCGTCCTTGTAGTCTAAAATGTAGGGTTTTGAGAGGACATTATTTTGCTGCCAGACCCAGACCTGTATCTCTAATCGTTTAGGAGATATTGAAGATTAAAGTTTTCCAACCATTCACAGTTGATACCGTTGATACTCCGCTTCTACTGGGAGTAGAGAGTCGTCCATATAGTCGAAAATTTAGGGTTTTGAGAGGACATTATTTTGATGCCAGACCGAGGCCTGTATCTCTAACCGTTTAGGAGATATCGAAGATTAAAGTTTTCCAACCTTTCTCCGTTGATATTTCCGCTTCTACTGGGAGTAGAGAGTCGTCCATGTAGTCGGAAATGCAGGATTTTGAGAGGGCTTTATTTTGGTGCCAGACCCAGGTCCGTATCCCTAAGCGTTTAGGAGATATAAAACATTAAAGTTTTCCAACCTTTCTCCGTCGATATCTCCGCTTCTACTGGGAGTAGAGAGTCGTCCATGTAGTCGAAAATGTAGGGTTTTGAAAGGACTTTAATTTGGTACCTGTCCGAAGCCTGTATCTCTAACCGTTTAGGAGATATCGAAGGTTAAAGTTTTCCAACCTTTCTCCGTCGATATCTCCGCTTCTACTGGGAGTAGAGAGTCGTCCATGTAGTCCAAAATGTAGGGTTTTGAAAGGGCTTTAATTTGGTACCAGTCCGAAGGCCTGTATCTCTAACCGTTTAGGAGATATCGAAGGTTAAAGTTTTCCAGCCTTTCTCCGTCGATATCCAGTCTTCATCCGTCGATATCTCCGCTTCTACTGGGAGCAGAGGTCGTCATGTAGTCCAAAATGTAGGGTTTGAAAGGGCTTTAATTTGGTACCTGTCCGAAGCCTGTATCTCTAACCGTTTAGGAGATATCGAAGGTTAAAGTTTCCAACTTTCTCCGTCGATATCTCCGCTTCCACTGGGAGTAGAGAGTCGTCCATGTAGTCCAAAATGTAGGGTTTTGAAAGGGCTTTAATTTGGTACCTGTCCGAAGCCTGTATCTCTAACCGTTTAGGAGATATCGAAGGTTAAAGATTTCCAACTTTTCTCCGTCGATATCTCCGCTTCCACTGGGAGTAGAGAGTCGTCCATGTAGTCCAAAATGTAGGGTTTTGAAAGGGCTTTAATTTGGTACCAGTCCGAAGCCTGTATCTCTAACCGTTTAGGAGATATCGAAGGTTAAAGTTTTCCAGCCTTTCTCTATCGATATCCAGCATTCATCCGTCGATATCTCCGCTTCACTGGGAGTAGAGAGTCGTCCATGTAGTCCAAAATGTAAGGATTTGAAAGGGCTTTAATTTGGTACCTGTTCAAAGCCTGTATCTCTAACCGTTTAGGAGATATCGAAGGTTAAAGTTTTCTAACCTTTCTCCGTCGATATCCAGCCTTCATTCGTCGATATCTCCGCTTCTATTGGGAGTAGAGGGTCGTCCATGTAGTCCAAAATGTAGGGTTTTGAAAGGGCTTTAATTTGGTACCTGTCCGAAGCCTGTATCTCTAACCGTTTAGGAGATATCGAAGGTTAAAGTTTTCTAACCTTTCTCCGTCGATATCCAGCCTTCATCCGTCGATATCTCCGCTTCTATTGGGAGTAGAGGGTCGTAATTGTAGTCCAAAATGTAGGGTTTTGAAAGGGCTTTAATTTGGTACCTGTCCGAAGCCTGTATCTCTAACCGTTTAGGAGATATCGAAGGTTAAAGTTTTCTAACCTTTCTCCGTCGATATCCAGCCTTCATTCGTCGATATCTCCGCTTCTATTGGGAGTAGAGGGTCGTCCATGTAGTCCAAAATGTAGGGTTTTGAAATTGCTTTAATTTGGTACCTGTCCGAAGCCTGTATCTCTAACCGTTTAGGAGATATCGAAGTTAAAGTTTTCTAACCTTTCTCCGTCGATATCCAGCCTTCATTCGTCGATATCTCCGCTTCTATTGGGAGTAGAGGGTCGTCCATGTAGTCCAAAATGTAGGGTTTTGAAAGGGCTTTAATTTGGTACCTGTCCGAAGCCTGTATCTCTAACCGTTTTGGAGATATCGAAGGTTAAAGTTTTCTAACCTTTCTCCGTCGATATCCAGCATTCATTCGTCGATATCTCCGCTTCTATTGGGAGTAGAGTGTCGTCCATGTAGTCCAAAATGTAGGGTTTTGAAAGGGCTTTAATTTGGTACCTGTCCGAAGCCTGTATCTCTAACCGTTTAGGAGATATCGAAGGTTAAAGTTTTCTAACCTTTCTCCGTCGATATCCAGCCTTCATCCGTCGATATCTCCGCTTCTATTGGGAGTAGAGGTCGTCCATGTAGTCCAAAATGTAGGGTTTTGAAGGGCTTTAATTTGGTACCTGTCCGAAGCCTGTATCTCTAACCGTTAGGAGATATCGAAGGTTAAAGTTTTCTAACCTTTCGTCGATCAGCCTTCATCGTCGATATCTCGCTTCTATTGGGAGTAGAGGGTCGTCATTGTAGTCCAAAATGTAGGGTTTTGAAAGGGCTTTAATTGGTACCTGTCCGAAGCCTGTATCTCTAACCGTTTAGGAGATATCGAAGGTTAAGTTTTCCAACCTTTCTCCGTCGATATCTCCGCTTCTACTGGGAGTAGAGAGTCGTCCATGTAGTCCAAAATGTAGGGTTTTGAAAGGGCTTTAATTTGGTACCTGTCCGAAGCCTGTATCTCTAACCGTTTTGGAGATATCGAAGGTTAAAGTTTTCTAACCTTTCTCCGTCGATATCCAGCCTTCATTCGTCGATATCTCCGCTTCTATTGGGAGTAGAGGGTCGTCCATGTAGTCCAAAATGTAGGGTTTTGAAAGGGCTTTAATTTGGTACCTGTCCGAAGCCTGTATCTCTAACCGTTTAGGAGATATCGAAGGTTAAAGTTTTCTAACCTTTCTCGTCGATATCCAGCCTTCATCCGTCGATATCTCCGCTTCTATTGGGAGTAGAGGGTCGTCATTGTAGTCCAAAATGTAGGGTTTTGAAAGGGCTTTAATTTGGTACCTGTCCGAAGCCTGTATCTCTAACCGTTTAGGAGATATCGAAGGTTAAAGTTTTCTAACCTTTCTCCGTCGATATCCAGCCTTCATTCGTCGATATCTCCGCTTCTATTGGGAGTAGAGGGTCGTCCATGTAGTCCAAAATGTAGGGTTTTGAAAGGGCTTTAATTTGGTACCTGTCCGAAGCCTGTATCTCTAACCGTTTAGGAGATATCGAAGGTTAAAGTTTTCTAACCTTTCTCCGTCGATATCCAGCCTTCATTCGTCGATATCTCCGCTTCTATTGGGAGTAGAGGGTCGTCCATGTAGTCCAAAATGTAGGGTTTTGAAAGGGCTTTAATTTGGTACCTGTCCGAAGCCTGTATCTCTAACCGTTTAGGAGATATCGAAGGTTAAAGTTTTCCAACATTTTCCGTCGATATCTCCGCTTCTACTGGGAGTAGAGAGTCGTCCATGTAGTCCAAAATGTAGGGTTTTGAAAGGGCTTTAATTTGGTACCTGTCCGAAGCCTGTATCTCTAACCGTTTAGGAGATATCGAAGGTTAAAGTTTTCTAACCTTTCTCCGTCGATATCCAGCCTTCATTCGTCGATATCTCCGCTTCTATTGGGAGTAGAGGGTCGTCCATGTAGTCCAAAATGTAGGGTTTTGAAAGGGCTTTAATTTGGTACCTGTCCGAAGCCTGTATCTCTAACCGTTTAGGAGATATCGAAGGTTAAAGTTTTCTAACCTTTCTCCGTCGATATCCAGCCTTCATCCGTCGATATCTCCGCTTCTATTGGGAGTAGAGGGTCGTCATTGTAGTCCAAAATGTAGGGTTTTGAAAGGGCTTTAATTTGGTACCTGTCCGAAGCCTGTATCTCTAACCGTTTAGGAGATATCGAAGGTTAAAAGTTTTCTAACCTTTCTCCGTCGATATCCAGCCTTCATTCGTCGATATCTCCGCTTTCTATTGGGAGTAGAGGGTCGTCCATGTAGTCCAAAATGTA